GGCAGAAGTTGATTTCTGATGGATATCAGTCAGGAACTTTTCTAGCTCCTCTCTGCAATCCTTGGCTCATGGCTGTCTTCATCCATCTTGAAACAGTAACAGGAGTCAACTTCCTCCCAGGTTTTCTGCTCTCTGTGTTTCTTTGTGGCAAGTCTCAGCTTCTAGTCAGAAGAGTCTCCTATGGGTTTTGTTTGTTTTTTGCCTACAGCCAGGACTCCAGGCATGCACTACTATGCCTGGCTCAACAGACTGAGCCCACCCAATAATTGACGCTAAGTTCCTTAGCCTAGTTTTCCTACCTCAGCATCTCTGACTTTACCTTATAAAGTTGCTTATCTGCCACAGGGTCTGAGGATTAGGACACACACACACACACACACACACGCACACGCACACGCACACGCACACGCACACACACACCCCAACCAAAGGATATTTTTCATCTTGAATGTAATAATGACAACTTTAAAAGTCCATTTATTTTTTCAATTTGTATAGTCGTTTTCCTCTGTGAACTATTTTTTTTTTTAATTGTGACTTTTGTCTGTGTCTCCACATCTCTCTTCCTTACATTCTTTTTAGGGAAGAGGGGATCTCCTACTTTCTAATTAGCTCTTTAGCTCATCCTTTTGCCTTTTCCCCATCCTCCAGACAGCGCCTTATGTAGCCTAGGCCGGCCTGGAACTTACAATATAGCCAAGGAGAATCTTGAACTTGTGATCCTCCTTCTCCTGTCTCGTGAATTTCAGGTGTGCACCACACGCCTGGGTTTATCCTCCTCATTGGAACTCTCTTTTGTACCTACAAACTCCTGATGGTAAGTCTGGAGGTTTTTGGAAAGTTTTGTGTGCCTGTGGTTGGTATCCTCCACTGCCAGTTTAGCATGTGGCTTGCTCAGCCCTGGGAGATCAATTATCGTCACTTAGCTTTGTGTGCTCTCTTTGTCCTTGTGGGTTTGTCACCTGACTGTAATTTTAGTAGCCTTGGGGAGGAGTAAGCATAGATAGATGTTGGGAAGATAACTTAAAACCATTGAACTCTCCAAAGAATAGATTTTATGATATATACATTTTATGTCAGTAGAATACATTTTAAATACTTTTGGTGGTTTCATTGTAAACCATGACCACAGATTTTAGAGTAGGAGAGTGAACCAGAGGCATTTCAGTGAGAGGCCCCGAGAGTGATGGTTTAAGAGGTGACATTTAGTACTGATTCAGCTACGCAGTAACAGTGGTGTAGCCTTGCCTGTGAGCAGTGGTATAGGCTGGGCTGCTCAGCACTGCTCTCATTCTTGTGGTCCAGCCTATCCTATTTGCAGGCTACTGCTACTGATACTTCCGGACACTGATACTTAGGTAAGCTGACCTTTATCCTGGAAAGAGTGAAACGTTCTGTAAGACACTGACTCAAGTCCAGCTCTGGGTGTGGCACTCACTCTCTGTATCCCTTGTTTAGCACGAGCAGCATCCTGGATTAATTCCCAAGAACTGAACAAAATGAAGAAAAAAATACTGTTGATTATATTATCAACGATTCTAAAATAGCAGTGATATTTATACCCTGGGTTGTCTTCAGGATAGATGGGAAAAATGAGACCCCTTGACAATAGCAATGGAGAATGCTCAGGAGAAAAGGGGCTGTGTTCTGTGTTTTTTCCCTTCCCAGCCCTCATAATGTAGCTTGATAAATACTCAGAATTCAGAACGCTTAAGAACATACAGGGTAGTTAAGTGGTCCACGGCTTTTATCAACATAGCCCAGATCAATTCGGTGAGAGCATTTCCTGTTCCTCCTTAGGGATTGTATGTCAAAATTCCATTAGTGTTAAGTACTCTTTCCGGCCGATACCTGTTTCTGCACATTTCTAACTTCTTCATCTCATCTTCGCAGTCTTTTACACACCTGTGAGGGTATAAGAGAGAGCTATAATATAGCCTTAAGCAAGTCAGTGTTAATTATGTGACATTAAATAGATTTCTTTCCAAAGTTGATTTTGATTTCTCGGGCCTCTTAACCTCTTAGCCCCTTGAACTTTCCGAGTCCATGCAGGGAAGGCTGATCTTTCTTCTGGATCATGATGACTTCCAGACTATGCTTGGAGATGCCTCTTGACTGGTCAGAAAGTCAGAACTGCCCTGGGGGCGTCACACTTAGCAAATAAAAATATAGGATGCCTAAGAATTTTGGGTGAATCATGAACAAAAAATTTCAGTAAAATATATTGCAAATATTATGGGGGGACAAACTAATAGTAAAACAAACAAACAAACAAACAAACAAACTTGTTATTTATATGAAATTTAAATTGAAGTAGGTGTCCTCTATTTTATCTGGCAACTCTAGGTCTAGGCACCTGAAAGGCCACAGCCCTGGCTCCTGGCTTTAGAAAACAACTCCCAGTTTTGTGGGGAGAAGGAGGCCTCACTACCAAACAGATGCCTCTGTTCACACTGTACCCTTTCTATAGACCACGCCCCTCTACAGGCATGTATTTCTTTCCTGCCTTGGCAGGCCTGCAGACACTGTCAGGGCTTTTGGCCTCTTTCCCAAGATAAGCTTTTTGATGGCCACTCTTGGCTGGAAGTGTGGTCAAGGAGTAGCTGATGGTCTAATGCAGACGCAAGGAGAGGACGAGAGAAAGCCAGTGCCTGTGTTTACCTGTTTACCCATCCCTGCCCCAAACTTCAGGGCTGCTGCTTCAGAAAGCTTCCAGCTGTCTCTCTACTTTGTGTGATTTTTGCTGGCTTTCAGCCTGAGGAGGTATGTATGATAGGGCAGAATACCACATTTCCCCTCCCTCCCTTCCTTCCTTCCTTCCTCCCTCCCTCCCTCCCTCCCTCCCCTCCCTCCCTCCTTCCCGCCCTCCCTCCCTCCCTCCCTCCCTCCCTCCCTCCCTCCTTCCTTCCTTCCTTCCTTCCTTCCTTCCTTCCTTCCTTCCGTTATTTATTTGTTTAGTGACAGGGCCAGGGAACAAGCCCAGTGTCTTCTGCAGGCTAAAATTGCTCCATATAAGTGAGCCATACCGTCTGTCTATACCTTCTTTCTTCTTCTCTTCAATACACGTGCTTGTTTCAATTAATGTCTTGGGAAAACAATTTGCTGTTTCTTTTAAATTCACCTATGTTTTAGCTTATAGAAGCACCCAGCTGGATGCTGCGGTTCATGTCTGTAATCCCAGCTACTTGTGAAGCTAACAGAAGATTATGAGGTCAGCCTAGTGTCTTAGGGTTTTCATTGCTATAAGGAGACACTATGACTGAGAACTCTTATAAGAATAACATTTAACTGGGGCTAACTTATGAGATCAGAGGTTCAGTCCATTATCATCAAGGAGGTGATGGGAGCATGGCAGCATCCAGGTTTGGTACAGGAGGAGCTGAGAGTACAGGAGGAACCAAGTGTTTTACATCTTCATCTGAAGGCCCACAGGAAAAGACTGGCTCCCACACAGTTAGGAAGAGGGTCTCTCAAAGCCCACCCCCACAGTGACAGATTTCCTCCAACAAGGCCACACCTCCTAACAGTGCCACCCCTGGGCCAAGCATATTCATATCACCACACCTAGGCCTCATATGTATAAATCCCAGGGTTTCATGGACACTAGGCAAGCACTCTACCAACTAAGTTATATCTCTAACTCCCTGTCTCTGTTTTTGAGACAAAAACAGAGACAGGGTCTCATGGAGCCCAGGCTGACTTCTAACTATGTATGCAAATGTGACCACACCTCCTGATCATCCTGCCTCTATCTCCTAAGCACTGACACTGTAGCTGTGCACCACCACATCAGGCTTATAGGATTGGTTGCAAGATATCCCTGAATCAGGGTTGCACCTGAGCCAGGTGCTCAAATGTTAATAGCTTTACAAAGCTGACATTAATTTTTCTCCAGTAAAAGGCAGGTCTATGTGACCAGATTCTTTTTGCTTTTTTTGTCTGTGTCAACCGTTCTTGGCTTTCCTCCTCACACTTGCACCATGTCCCTGCTCCTGTAGGTGCAAAGGCAAAGGTGAGACCAGTGCTCTCTCTCCCCCACCTCCTCCCACTGGTAGTACTATGTAGCCCAGGCTGGCTCCAAACTTGTGCCCCACCTTCTTCTGCTTCCCTAAATAGTTTCTTTGAGGCCCAGCTAGCAAACTTTGCCTATGCCTGGGGAGCTATGGAATCTGCCCTTTGGGCAGTGTTCCAGTTGTACAACACAGGGTTCCTGAACAGGAAAGAAAATGAGAAAATTTACACATGTGAATGAGTATGTAAACTCTTCAGGGGATAAGGGGTGTTTTCTTTATTTGAGACAGGGGCTTGTATCTTGTTACATAGTCCATGCTGGTCTCAAATGTACCATCTTTGCCCATGCTAGGCCTACATATTTACTACTTAGCTGCACCCCCAGACATATGGAATGCAAGTTCTTTTTTATATTACAGTTTCCTCCTAAGCAAAATTTACCTTCATATTGAACACACACACACACACACACACACACACACACACACACACACACACGCAAGCACGCAGAGAGAGAGAGAGAGAGAACACATCTATATATATAGAAAGAGATTGTTACCACATCTACACATAAACATCACTTCAAGTGGAGCCAAATATGATTGGCTATGGCTCAAAAACACTAATTTAAGCCACCCTAACGACTTGTTCTTCCTTGAAAACAACGTTTTCCTCTCAAGCAGGTGCAGAGGGGGCGGAGAAAGGGGCAGTCGCTAAGCCAGAATCCTGGGAGGAAACTTTCCTGGTTGCAAACTTGGGGTTGAAGAGCAGAGGCCTCCCGCTCGCAGCTGCTTGCACAGACTCGGGGTCCCCTTCCCTCCCAGCTCCTCCCCCGGTCTTTGCCGACCTTCCGCGCCCCTGCCCAGCGCCGCCGCCAGAGCCGACGTGGCGGAGCGCACAGGTCGCGGTCAGGTGGTCGGTGACGCCCAGGACCGGCTCCCGGGAGGGCGGTGCCGACGCCCGGGGTGGGGACTGCGCGGGCGGCCGCGGGCGGAGCGCGGAGCAGCGCGGAGGAGCGCGGCGGGCGGAGCGCCGGGAGCGAGGTGCCTCAGACATGGACCGCGGCGAGCAAGGTAGGCGGCGGCTGGCTCCTGGCGGCCGTGCGGAGCCTCGGATCCGTGTCTGGGCGACCCGGACCCGGTCCGCTTCGGTGGCCGAGCCCCGGGAGCCTCTTACGAGCGCGGAGCGGGAGGAGGGGCCGCGCCGCGGGAGCGGGAGTGTGAGCGAGTGTGCTTCGGCGTGCCCGAGCAAGTGTGCGCGATTGCGTGCGAGTGTGCGGGGAGGAGAAGGGTGGCTAGAGGCCACAGAGGTGTTAGGATGCGCGCAGGGAGGGCCACCCCGGCAGCGCGCTGGCCTCGGGGTCACCGGCAGATCCTGGAAGTGATGGCGTTCAGATGGGACCATGACTTGTGAAGACTTCCTGCTTGCCAGTTGGGATTGTTGGTGGCCTTTGAGCCCATAGCCACAGTGTTTGGGTGTAGTATTTGCCTTAAGAGGAGTCCCCAAACTGTAGGGTGCAGTCTGTGGGTTTGGTTGGGGGAAGGGAGCTTTCACGATCTGGGTCTTAGTTACTGCCAGGTGAATCGCACAGCAGGAAACCTTCAGTTTCCTGCACCTAGGTGTTCCTTCTACGTCCTGAGATAGCCAGTCAAGTGAAATTGCCCGGAATAGAATCAACGGAGATGTGACCAGAAGCAGATTATGGCTTTCACTTGAAATATTGCCTACATTGGAGAGCTCTGCTGTGAAACCGGTATGGGTGGCAGGCTTGGAAAGGGTCTAGGCATGCTAAGGAAAATACCATGTATTTTGGAAGTGGTTTTAGGGATCGTTTCTGATGCGAGTCCCTGTAGAATACCTTATTTTCTGCTTATTTGCTTCCAGTGTTTGGTCCTGGTATGAGTTTCAAGCATGAGTTTTTGAAAATGTAAATAAAACCATATTTAACAAGTACTGTGTGTACTTTACCTATGATTAATTTGTAAGGTAGATTTTTTTTAACCCAGTAATCCCTTCTTTCTCTTTTTCCCTATGATGGTTTCACGTTTACTCTATGTGCTTATAGACCCTACTGCTACTCATGTGCCTATATATATGCACACTTACTGTCTTGACTTTTGGCTTTTAGGATTGCAACTGTGTTGCCTTTTTGAGCCTGTGTGGTTGGCTGAGTTAACAAGCTAGCTTGTTTGTGTCAGTGAGTTAGAAATTTTGTCTGTATAGGAAAAGCTGGCACACCTGTATAAACCAGCACCATTCCATCTGACACTCCATGCAGACTGTGTCAGTGTGCATATGTGTGTGTTTGTTTTGTGTGCTTTATGTGTGCTTGCGTATGAATCTGTTTTATGCCATGTTTAGTATAGTGATGGTTTTAGTAACAGCCTGCTACAAGTGTGCTGAAGTGCTGTTTGGTTTCCGTGTCTGTGTGATTGTTTTAATGAACTGTGTGTTAGCCCAGCAGCTGTCTCAGCTCTTGGTGCCACCACAGCCTTCCAGCAGGCTAATGTACTCTGTGTGATTTTATGGGACTTGTCTTTTTTAAAGTTCCCAATTCTAGGACTTGCAAAGTGAGTCTTTGCAGGCTTCACATATTTTCTGTGTGAGATGCTCACTTTCCATGGCACTGTATCTGTCAGCTGTGCACCCTGTCCCCTCCTTGAAGAGTCCAGGGCCCTGGAGTCCTCGGGGAAGGCCTACTGCCTTATTCTTGCTAGATTTCCTGATACCTTTGTGACAGGTGGCCTGCCTGTATCTTATCAGCCAGTCCTCAGGGAACAGGGGACTCGGAAAAGCTTGTTGAAGCCTAAGCTGAAAAGTGTTGTGTAGCTTCTGCCACCCGCCATCCTCGCCATCCTCCGTGGGCTTGGCTCCTACTTCCTCTTTTTCTGGAATCAGGCTGTGTTGGGCCGGACAGGTGAGTTTACCTGAAATGGGCCTTTGAACTGGTAGTGCAATTGCTTTGGCATTAAAGGCGTCTGTGGTGGGACTCCTGGCTTCTTGTAAAGGGGTGGGAGGGACACGTGCAATTATAAACCTGGTGTTCACCAGCAAACTCTGTTGGCTGGGATAGAGTGTGGCAAACCATGGTTGTGTCCTTAATTTTGAGGACTTCTTGTTGTTGTTCTATCTGTCTATTATCTATCTATCTGTCTGTCTATCTATCTATCTATCTATCTATCTATCTATCTATCTATCTATCATTTATGTATCTGTTTATATATTTGCAGAAATATTTCAGTCTATATCAAACCATCAGGATTTATATTTTATATGCTTGGAGTTTTCTTAACTCTTGTCCCTTATAATGTCACCAATGGCTGTGACAATAAATGTCCCTTTTTTTTTTTTGTCTTAAATGAACTCGCTTGAAAAGGTCTCAAATTTTCTTGTTTGTTGATGCTCCAAATCTGCCTTTTGCTACTGATTTTCTTAGCAGACCTTTAACCTTAACCGAACAATGTAACATTGTCCTGTTCTTTGATACTTTGTAGTATGTGGCCCATGTTCTATTATTTTATTTTTCTATTTTCTGGTTAGATGTTGGGTCTTACTTATACAGCCCTCTGTTGTAAGGGCTCTCAAAAATACCTTCAACTCCACAGCACCTTTTTATGCACTAACTGGGCACAGGAAACTCATGCGTGTGGTGTTTCCTATGTTGCTAACTGGAGCATGCCTGTGAGAAGACAAAGCCCTCCTGTCTCCTTTCAAGAGCCGAATACATGTTTATAAGCAAGGACTCCCTTATGCAGTTAAGAACCCAGCACTGTATGTAATATGTCAGCAGCAGTTACCCACCCGCTCAGCATGTTGTTAGCGTAAATAGAATAACATTTTAAAAGGAAAGAGGGAAGGTTGCCAGAAACCTGAGAGAGAACAGTGGGCGGGGAAAGAACAATGGAGTGACCGACCTGTCGTTACTGTTTGACCGGTTAGCCTTGGAGTTAAGCTTGGAGTTAAGGCAGATCTGGGATGCCCTTTATTTAAACGTGAAGCAGGTATAGAGCAGGAAAGGATGGACATCCCAGAGGTCTGCTTCCTAGACCCTGGAAGTGGCCTGCCCAGTTAGGAACCTCTCTGCTCTTCTGCTCAGTACTCCCCATTGGGTGGATATGTTTGTTAGTCATCTTCTACTTCCTGCCCCCTTTTTTTTTCTTTTGGCGGCAACCTGCCTGGTACTGGGGAAAAGCCAGTAGTAAAAGTGGTTGTGATCTCTTAGCAGATTCTTAAAACAGAATAACCTGTGTGTGTAATAGAAACACATTAGACACCCACAGTTCAGAGCAGAGCAGAGCAGAGAGCACCATCCTCCTGTATATACCACAGAGCCCTTTCTAGCAGGCTAAGCTCATTTTCTACCCTCTTGAGGCTAATTTACTGTTTTAATTGTTGACTCTTGTAAAATCTCTTTTGAGACTCTACCAAACATTATTTAAACTGGCTGGGAACCAGTTGAACAGAGACCATAGTTTTTTACATTTTTTTTTAATTAAAAAAAAAGAAATCAAAGGATTTATTGGCTGTTTGATTGATTTAGATAGGGTTTTGCTATGTAGCCCAGGCTGGCCTAGAACTTACAGTCTTTCTGTCTGTGTTCTGAGATCATAGGTGTAGGTCATCATGCCTGTTGAATCAGGGTACTTAAGATGTTAATAAAAATTGAAAAAAATAAAGATCTAAAAATACATTTTTTGCCAGGTGGTGGTGGCGCACGCCTTTAATCCCAGCACTTGGGAGGCAGAGGCAGGTGGATTTCTGAGTTTGAGAGTTCGAGGCTAGCCTGGTCTACAGAGTGAGTTCCAGGACAGCCAGGGCTACACAGAGAAACCCTGTCTCGAAAAACCAAACCAATAAATAAATAAATAAATAAATAAATAAATAAATAAAAATACATTTTTCTGGTACTAAAATAGTTGCTTATTTTAGAAGAATTGGAAATGTGGACAAAGAAAAAGGAAATAAAACTTCTTGTAACACTATTCTGACAATTTATAGTATATTTGTTTGTGTATCTACCCCTTTAAACTGGTGAGTCATAAACCAGAGCATTGAGCATCTGTAAAATGATCTTTTATTCAATTATCTGGTAGGCTTACCACCTCAGTCACTATCCTAGGCCAAGTCCTGGAAGCTTCTAGCCTCCATGCAATCTTATCTAGGTCTAGAGTGTTTTCAGCCTCTGAGACTTACTGCTGAATAAGGGTACCTTTTCCTAGTTCTTTCTGAGCTCTGGCTGGCTGATCCACCTCAGCTGTTCTGGCTCAAACTCCTCCATGCTGACTGATTTAATCTGGCTTCCCTCTTGGCCTCTGACTGAATAACTCTGCTTGGCCTCATACTAACTCTGGCCATCTGTTCTAATCTTCTGGCTCCTTCTTATTCTCTGGCTCGTTCTATCTTCACCTGTGTCTAGCTTGTTCTCTCTCTTTCTCTCTCTGCAGCCTGTCTCTGTACAACTGTTCCAGTGAAACTGCCTCTCCCTTTCTCTCTCTGCATTGCTCTCTTAAGTAGCCTCTCTTTTCTTTCTGTTCTTATGAGACTTGGGCATCTCCTATTCTGTCAAATCTTTCTCTGATTCGTCACTTTGTCTGCCACTCAATTAGACATCACTTTCAAACATGGGTGCTTCCTTCTACAAACTAACTTTACCTTCATTGTTTGGAATTAAGAGTGTGTACTAAGGGTTTGTCTGTGTTCCAGACAGGCTAAAGGCATATGCTAAGGCTAAGTCACACAACTAGAAACAGGTTTTTAAAGTAACTAACATAATCTTAGGGTTCACAGTGCAATAGCATCCTATTTTACAACTAGCCCTTTAAAAATAGCCTCTGTATTTTAAGCAGGCTTGGTGGTCCCAGTCTGGCACACTAGCCCCTCAGTAGCTTGAGGCAGGAGGATCTCAAGTTCAAGGCCTGCCTGAGCCACAAAGTGAGTTCAAGGCCAGTCTATCTTAAAGTAAAAAGTAAAAATCAGGCAAGTTCAAAAGTAAGAAGTAAAAGAAGAAGTAGGCTAGTTCAGTGCTGGTGAGTCCTCCTAACCTGTCAAGGCTCTGTATTTATTCTCTAGTACT